AGTAGGTTTGACATAATACCATCAAATGAGATACATAAGATATTTTCACCCAATTTCGTTTTAATGTGATAAAGTTTAGTTAGAAGTATACAAAACTAATTAGCACAAAAATAGGCAATAATATAGAGGTGAGATACTCTCATAAAGATAAATTTGCGTATAACTAGCCTTACAGTTTCTCCTTTTCATCATAGACTTAAAAATCTTTATTTGAAAAACTTTTTTTTGCAGTAATAGCAATTTTTTAAGTTATAGATCAGTCTTATACGAAGTGGTTGTTTCTCTTCAACATAATGCTTAGTTTAAAAAAATAATGATCAACACAGGCTGAAAATTTTCTTAATTTGTTCTGTTTATGGTCCAAATAAATGTCAGTCGTCTTCTAAACCCATACTTTTTATCACTACAGATTTCAAGAAATCCTCCTTGATCACCTAACGGTGAAACATGGATAACTTACTCAGGTAACCCACAGAATATCTCATGGAAAAATAACTCTTTTCTGGAATGCTTTCGAACAAATTAAGGCGCCAATAAACAGATGGTACCCGTTTTCCCAACTTGATAAGAAGGAAATCTCTAAATTTGAAGCGCTAACAAAAAGTGACAAAGGCGTATTTAATCAGCTGTTTCAGAGAGCCAAAAGCTAATATCGGAGTGAAAATATTTAATCTATTAGCAAAACTAGTGCCAACCAAAATCTCATAGCCAGTCCTATTGTCTATCGCAATGATAATTAAAAAAGACCAAGATAATATTATTCGTAGACACACTCTGACAATATTTTAGGCTTATTTTTATACTACAATCAGGATTATCCTCAAAGCGACTTGTTTAGTATGATAGCAGTTCGAAAATTAAAACTTATTAGTAAATCTCTCTGTTCTATTCCTAGCTCATCTACAATTTCAAAAAGTAATAGGAATTCTCGAGTAAATTCGGCTAAAATGCAGGTCTTATCCAGTAGCTTGAAGGTAAATCGTGATGCCATATGTACTAAGTACCTTCTAATGCTGACTACCACCCTGACTGGAACCAACTGTAAATGAAATATGAGTATAATAGAAACTGATTCTAGATGATAACGGCTAACTGGGGATCAACAAGAATTCAAATGTCGAGATTAAAGTGGGACTGCCAATCGAGCCAAAACTTCCTTAAGTAGATATGAAATAAAGTTGAATTGCCATGTGGTTCAACATCCGATTAGCGTAAACTATATTTGAAATAGCTGGCAAGAACGAAACCATATAAAATAAAATAGGAACGTGAATTAAATAATGCCAACATATTCATTAGTGATATTAGTAGTAGTAGTAGTAGTAATTAAAAAGCGATAAATCATGGTTTGTCGTTTCGTATTTCGTGGGCCATGGCTCTAAGAATAGCAAATATTCATTTCTCTTTAGAAAAAAAGAAGCATCTACCTCCTCCATGTGTTTCCTGGCTGCTAAAAGGCCGTGAAGGATGAGTAGCTTGTAGTATTGAAACATGCAACTATCCGCCCCCCCCATCACAGCCACCTGCTCTTCCGTCAGCTTAAATGGGCTTGTCTCGAAGCCCAAATTCTTGCCAGGCGACGCCGAGAGCATAAAGCCAAAGTCAATGTGAACCACGTGGCCCACATTATCTAGCAAGATGTTTCCATTATGTCTGAAGAAGAGCCAACAAGTAAAGGTATGCAGGTTGGGGGAAGGGAGAGGAGTGGGTTAGCAGTTAATATGAAAGGTAAAAAGGAGCATGAAAATAAAACAACAAGCTATTAATTAACACAATTAGAAGTTGTTTGATCTTGTTTCTGCAACTTAATCATATTAGCAGGACGACCTAGAGGAACGCACT